AAATGAGGGGGAGGAAGCTACAAGGAGAAAAAGAACTTTAAGAAACTCCCAGGGTATCATGGTGTGGCTTCTTCTGCAACCTTAGCTAAGGAGGCTAACCATTGGCTCTCACTTATCTAAACATGAAATATAAGCTTCATTCAACAGATATCTTTTAAATGCCAGGTAATGCCAGGGAATCACAGCTCCCTCCCTGCCTTGGCCCCTGCTAATCTTACCAGCCTCATGCCTTGCAATCCAGCTCTCTGTCTTATATATGTTTTTGCTCTCTGTCTTAATTTTTTTTATTGTGGTTCCCTCATTTTAATCCTTGTCTTTGATTTTGACCTTTCTTCTGTTTAGAATTTTGTATTTGCCTAAGTACTACTCATCTTATAAGATTCAGGTCATATATACATCCTCAAGAAGTATCTCTGAACTTCTAAGGTAGATGAAGTACCTCTTCTCTTTGCTTTTATAGCATATTATACATACATGAATCTGTTTATATTGTCTTATCTTCTCTACTAGACCGTGAGCATCTGAAGAGCAGGACAGCTCTATATCCCAGGTCCTTAGTAGATATGTGATAAATATTTATGGCCTTCAACTGACTGAACATCCCTAATTTTTAAGTTAAGGGCAAGGTCATAAAGTTGATCAACTCCTTGTCTGAAGTCAAAATTTTGTGACAGTATATATAAAGAAGAACTCAGGATACCTGTTTTACTTAAGTCGGAGCTATGCTTTGGACAGTATTGTAAATTCCTCATGAAAAAGGCAGAAAGAACTATGAGCACTCTCACCACCAAGAGCTCTCAAATTAAATTAGTTTGAAGCAGTTTTCATTAAGATGACTGAATGTGGCATCGTGAGAAACACTTTATCAAATGTAGTGTTTTACTTAGTGATTAACTATATACCAGTTGATGAAGCTCCCCAAATCCTTTGTAATCCCACCACTCCAATAAACATTTAATGAGTATATAAGTTCAAAAAGCCTAGCAGAGGATTTAAACCTTCAATCTTGTTTTTATTTACTCTTGAACTCAATTTCTCACTTCAAGTGAACACTGCTGGTGCTTGAGGCTCATCTGTTGCCCTGGCAAAATTAATGTGCCTCCCACAGTTTAAATTGAACATGTGATGTTTAAGATGAAAAAGGTTTGGTAAGAATGCCACAGTATCAAGTCACACTTGCCTTAAAATATCTGAGTATCACCAAATTGTCTTCTTAAAAATGATTCATTTGGAAATTTAAAAACTATTTTTAAAGGTTTTAACTTTTGAATGCGAAATTTGAAAAGAGATGAAGTTTGATCACTGAATCCTGCAGTACAGCAGTTAGCACTGAGAACTAAAATATGGTGGTATACTGTAAACCATACTTACCTGTGTTAGAACCCTGAGCTCTTATTTGGTCTCTGCTACTTACTATCTATATGTTTTGGGGGCAAATTCTGTATCTTTTCTGAGCTTCATCATTTCTACAATGGAAATATTGGTATTATATGTCCCAATCTCATTGGTTTGCTGGGGGGGTTCAAATGAGGTATGTATAGGAATATGTTTTATAAACCAGAGAGCACCATACAAATTTGCAGTACTGTTTCTATACTTACATGGTCCCCTTTAATTAAAAGCAGTATATATAATTTAGGTGGTGACCATAATAAATGGACCTGCTTAGATTTAATTTTGAATAATTCATCTATCATGTGGATAAATTCTACTTAAGTTTAGAGTAAAGTAATAAACTGTTGATCTTTAACTTGGGAAAGAGAAATGAAGAAAGAAAAAGCCCTGGAGAACTGGAGAAAGATAAAGACAATTTAAGAGTCCAAAGAGGTCAGTGGATTTTGGTATCAATCTAATATGAAGCAAAACATTTAATTACATGAACCAATGATTTTCACCTGTTAAAACACAAGACACTAATCAAAAGCAAACCAGTTGTTTCATTAGAAATACCCAGAAATTGGTAAGAATTTATGCTCCTCTGGGGATCATCATTCTAAATAAATCCAAATGCCAATTTACTGTAAAAGATACTTAGTAAAAGCTCTTTTGTCTACTAAATACTGTATATTTAAATAAGTATCTTCATTTAAAATGGAAATGCGTAAGGTATACACTATATATTTTATAGCAACTTTTAAAATGGAATTTAAGAGATCTTACACCTGTTTTGGGAATTACAGTTTAAGTTACAAAAGGCCCTGCTATTTTACATTATTTTAACTGCTTAGCAATCTTGCTTGAAAGTAAAGATGGATATATCCCAAATATATTGCTATCAAGGAATTAATTGAAAAAGAGATTATTTTAAAGCTATAATTAGGTACTCTTTCAAACATATTTATGCTTGACAATACATGATATTTAAATACAATAATGACCACACAAGAGACTCTATAATGATTAAAAATCCTGTTATAATGAAGTATTCAGCATTACTTACAAAAAACATTCTTGAGAAAAACATTTGACCTGAACCAAACAAAGCTTTTAGACCTATTATCCATTTCTCAGAAAACACAGAGATAGAGGAACGAGTTAAACTATGACAAGGAAATACTCACACAAATCCAGAATTTGGAACAATCTGTAAGTCATCTAGCATGATTTCTTCACTAAGCAAATATCATTAAAAAATTTTTTTAAAAAAGAGGGAGGGTGCTTGCTTAAAGAGGATTTAAGAACCTAACAACCAAATGTAATTCGTGGTCCTTGAGTGGATTATGGTTCCAAAAAAAAACATTTAAAAAGACATTTTGGGAACAACCAATGAAGTATGAATATACACTGGAGATGATATTAGAGAATTATTGTTAACTTTGTTACATGTGATATGGTATTGTAATTATTTTTGGAAAATGCATGCAGACATTTTTAGGGGGAAAATATGATATCTTTAATTTACTTTGCAAAGGTCTAACAAAAAATAATGAATATACAAGGATGTCCTAAATGTTTTCCTGTGGTTTCGTTTTAATAATTTCAGAAGTTTAACTACCACAAACTTAAAAAAAAATGTCTAACTTTGTATTTCTTTTACATTTACTTATTTTTATAAATTTATTTTCTGTTCTAGTCAATGCTTGCCATTTTCAGAGAGGAACTGAAACAAAAATGTATCATATAAAACTTATCCATCAAAATCACAAATCTAAAGTAGAAAAATGTAAATAATTAAATTTTAAAATGCAGCTCTTTTATAAATGTCTAGCAGTTAAACTTTTCAAGTTATCAAGGCTTAAAACTCCATTAAAACTCTATGATGCTCATTATATAGAAGCAAATATAGCAAAATGTTAGTAATCATTAAATCTACATATAGGTGATTTGGGTGTTCATTATACTATTGTTACCTTTTCTATATTAAAAACTGTTTTAATAAAAAGTTAAAAATAGTATAAAATATAATTAAGGACATGATCAGGCAATATTAAAAGACAAAAATAAGTTGCTTTACAAGGATTATAACATGACTCAATTATATATTAAATATGCATAAATGTACTGATTGAAATATATAATAAAAACATGGAAAGAACACATATAAAGTCAACCATTAATCTGTATTAGAATACTTTCTTTTTGCTTTTCAGTATTTTCCATAAATTTGTATTTATGGAAACTATAAAATATATTACCATAAATATGTATTTCTTCAAAAATAATGTTCATTTTATATGGATTTAAAAAATAAAGGTTAACAACCTTTATAATGGATTATTTAACCATTCTTAGGGTAAAGAACAGTTTATGTTTCTTAATCTATTTAGTTGAACTGGTAAGAGTTAGCTGTAAGTTTGATCACTAATTATTGTCTTGGAGTTGTTTTAAAATTTGTTTAAAATGAATTTTTCTTTAGATCAGAGTTTAACATAAACTTGAAACTAAAAATTTCAGAGGCATCCTTGCACTCTATTCTCAAAATTCCTTGCCTTCTACTCCATGTACACACTATTCTTTCCTCTTTTTTCCTTCATTCACCAAATGTATAGTCTATTTACTATGTGTAGGGGTGTAAGGCACACAGTCACTGCCAAAAAGAAAACCAAGTCTCTTGAGAAGATACACACAGACACACACAGACACACACACACACACACACACACACACACAGAGAGAGAGAGAGAGAGAGTGGATAATTATAAGCAATATGTTAAGCAAACAATAAGATAAGCCTGAGGGTATCACTGCAAAGTATTAACAGGGTAGGTGCAGTCAACGTGACTGTAGTGGAAGACTCTGAAAAGAATCAGTCTCAAAGGAAGAGTAGGAGTCAACTAGGTAAAGGGCAGGATGGAAGGCATTCCTGACAGTGGGAAAGCATAAAAAAAGAGTAAAATTGCAGAGAAATACAAATGGTACACTATTACTAGATCGATAAAGTATAAAGCAGGGAGTGGGAAGAGTTGAAGCTGTACAAATGTGCAGAAGCCACATCACTGAGGTCCTGACTGCTATGTCAACATATAAATACAGTGATTGCATAGAATCTTCTTTCTCAAAATGTACTTTTGAATTTGAAGTCATAAACTTCAATCTACTTGATTTCAAGATCACAAATCCCATTTCTATATTTAAAGAAGAACCTTTTGTTGTCTAAAGTGACTTTTGGGAAAAAAATATTACAGTTATTAAAGACTATTAGATGGGATAATCATTTTGGGGAAAGACTGAAGGACAAATTCTTTAGCAAGAATCTGTCAATCACGTAACTAAAAAAACATACACGTAGCCTGGTCCTTTCTAAGCATGTCCACCTTTTTTTTCCCTACAAAAAACCCCATTTCAGTATTTGAAAAGGCCTTCTGCAAGAACAAGCAGTACCCTATCACACTACTGCCCCTCTGAAATGGGCATCTTGGTGATGATTAGGTTGGTAGATGAACCAGAAACAAAATCAAGTCTTCAATCTGAAAAAAACAGAAAACATTAAGCATTGCCTCAGGCCTGGTGGTAACCTATGAGATGCACTTTTTAATCAGAAAAGGTAAGATTGCACTTACATCTCGGGCTTTCACATAGAAGGCCTCTTGAAAAGCAGCTTCTAATGAGCCAATAAAAAATACAGGATGGCAGTCACCATATCTATAGGAAAAATTTCATCTATTAATTTAAATACATTTCAAATTCACTTCAAGGTTTCACAGGTCTAATCAAAGACTTTTAAGTAAATGTTGGTGCTAACGTCTCTTAAGAACAGACCAAACATTAAAATATTTCTTCAAAAACTTGGAAATGACCTTCATTAGATTTTAGAATTCTTCTCAGCCTATGTTGACATGTTAGGACACTGGATTTTAAGTACATATAGCAATTGGATTTAATAAGTGATTCAAAAACAAGCCATTTATAAGTAGCAATTCCTGGTTTCCCACTTTCATAATATTTTACTATTTACAGTAGCCTTAACTTTCCATTTTAGTTCAATTATTCCAGAGGTCCAACAGAAAGGGGAAAAAATGGTATTGGTATTGTGCGAAGTTTCCAAAGTATATTACATCAGAAAACAGAACTTAGGAGAAGTATCATTTACATGAAAATTTAGGGTTAAATATTTAAATCCTCTTTACTTAAACACCTTAGGAGAATCTCAAGCATATAAAGCATTTTATATTAGACTCTTAAGAAATGCTAAATGATTCTAAAATAAAAATTAAAAGAACAAATTCACTTACATTTTAAATTAACTTTCTACTTAACATTATTTTGAAGGATATTTTGCTTGTCCTAGGATACACTAAAAATTAGTATCCTATATAACCTAATCCTTTTGGGAATACAGTCAAGATATTAATTAATGATCCATTTATTGCAGTTCCATAAAGATACAGAGATAAGATCAGTATACCTCTGAAGTGGCATAAATGTTTTACTAGTTGTCTGACAATGAATACTCTGTGTTTCACTATCAGGACTATATAAATTGATAAATATATCCCTTAAATGCTTTAAGGAAAAATGCAAAAAACAATCTATTATTAAAATTGCTCCAGAAAAATCACAGTAGCATTAGAAGAACATCAGTTTTATATAGTTAATGTCCTAACCCTACCTTGAAGAAAACTCTGCTGTAAATTGTAATAAGGCATCTCCTTCATTTTCTGCGTTTTCTGGCACTAAAAAACAAACAAAAGAAAAAACAAAAACAAAAAACCAAAACAAATAGACACAAAAAACAAACCACATAACATCTAATCCCACATATAAGAAATATATTTAATCAATACAGAGGAAATAAAATTAAATTTTAGCTTCTGTGATATATCTGAGGAGACATTTTAACATACATTATAAGATTTCATCGGACTTTTCATCAAAAAGTTCCAAGCTCATAGATTTCGGAAAATCAACTGACACAACCCTGCTAAGCATTTAAAATATGTGCCAGTCATTAATTAGTATTTCAATGCTTTCTTGAACTCACATCTTGTGATTAAATTATATAAAAAGGATCTCAAGTTATTTCAAAGACTTTATTACTCAGGAAAATAATCAATTTTATATAAATATCATATATATTTCTGTCCATAGGAGTTCCCTAAATGCACAGAATAAATGAGCCATTAAAGGACTTTTTTCGATGGTCACTTTGCTGTTGTACTACTTGTGATCTACAGATGCATCTTGTAGAGTGGAAGTAAATGAGACAGCAAATTTAGTTCATTTTTTCCTTCCAAAGGTGGGTATCAGTGAACGGAAAGTAATATTACTACTCTTAAAACTGGTACCTCCAATAAGCTGTGGGGAAACAAGTACAGTCACAGACAGTACAGCTATTTGTTTATCAATTTTCAGGTTTAAAGTAAAGAGAGAGACTCATTAATTACTTATACATGTGAAACAAAAAGTTTTATTCCCTTGCATTTTTCATGAATATTACTAAAGCACTGGGAATTATTTGGTTTGATAAAAAACAAAACTCAAGAGGCTCCAGTTCTAATGACTAATGCCTACTTGCTATATTTTCTCTCTCCAACTCTGGAGTCAGTAAGATTTTTAAGTTCACTGTTCATAAGTTTCTGCACTAGGAGGAAGAATTGTAATGCTGGACGCAAAGAGCTATTAATACTCACTCATGGGAGATTTTCTCAGAGCAGATGATGCCATGCCGAATACTTCTCCATCATCCACTCCAAATTCGGAAGCATCTTCAAAGTCATCTCCATCACTATCACTAACCATATGAACATCGGTGCTTTGCTATTTAAGGAAAGTCCCAGTTAGTATCATATTGACTTTAGGAAATCAAATTCCAAAATATAAGTTGTGTAATCACAATGGGACATTATCATTATAAAAGCTTTATTAAATAAGAAGCCATTTGCTAGAGTAAAGCTTAATATTTTTCATTTTAAGGCTTACCAGTATTTCTAAACCTGACTAAAGGCTGGAGACTGAGAGAAAATGAAGGATGCTTACAAACTCAATGAAGACAGGGATTTTTGTCTGTTTTATCCCCAGCCTAAAGTATACAAATAAGTGCTCAATAAATAAGAAGAGGGTACAATCAGAGAGGTCAGACACAAAGTAAACTATATGAGTTTTTCAAAAAGCTTACACTAATTTATAATTATCACACAGAAGCAATGGTAGCATTTTCGAACTTGCCCCTTACTTACTGCAGTAGTTCTCAAATTTCTCATTAGTGAAATATGGTACACTGTCCCCACAGTGTTATTGGAAGATAATATGAAATACACTATACATGAAGGTTCTTTGTAAACCGAAAGCTATTAAATATGAGATGTAATAGTGATGCTGGAATTCAGTAAACACATTGAGAATTTACTACATGCTGGGCACTGATAAAAAGGCTGCTTATTTTGTTTTAGCAACATCAGTTGACATTTAAAGTATTACGATTAAAAACATCAGCTTCAAACTATGAACTAGGCTGCAGATCTTTAGGTTAGACTGGGATTTCAAGAACACTGATTTAAAACGTTTAAACTGAGTTGTGAATACTGACAAATATTCATGCCTTGGATGAGAAGGTATTGGCTAAATGCCTATCTGTAGTATGCTCAATAAAGTCTACAAAGACTAGTTAGTAAATGAAATTTTTCTTTTAAAAGATAGCATTACGTACTTATGAAAATGGGGGAACTATTTGATTCTTGTCTATGCAGACGAGCCTAACTCAGAGATAAATATTAACCAGAAAAAGTATTAAGAGAAACTTAGAATCAAAGACTCATGAAACTTAGCTGGAGGGGGGCAATGTTAGAAGTCAGCCAGTCATAGAATCATAGATTTTCAGGCTGGAAGGGATTTTAAAGCTCTTTCATCAATGTTTTTCAAACTTCTTTTCACAGGGTTACCTCCTTCCCCCAAACCCAAGCAAAATACTATGTAAAATTATAGTGCACACAGTAAATAAAAGTGAGGACAGTCTGGATGATGCAGGGAGAGGGTAATGGGGAGCCTCATGCTCCTGGGCTTGGGCTTTTCTTCCTCATATTCCTTTGACAGTGGGGTACCTCTGAAAGATCTCAGGACACTATGGGATAATTTTTAAAACTACTGATCTAGTTAGTCTAAAAGCTCCAAATGAGGAAGCCAAGATTTTTACTCCATTTGACTCAATAGGCTTAGCATTTCCTCCTGGGGCATAACCAAGCATTAATGCCCAGAATTTTAACATTTTTCCCTCTTATCTTAAAGACAGTCTTCCCAGTGGTTTGAGTACAGAAGGTAATAAACAGATACTTACTGGATGAATAAAAATGAATGGTCCTTGTCCTAAGCAATCTATCTGCTATGCTGACTGTACCACTATTTCTCACAGAAGTCTTGGTTCTACTTGTGATCCTAATCTGCCTAGTGTTTTGCTTTGCAGAGCAAAGGTCTCCTGATTTCAGCAATTCAACAGCTTTAAAATTCAAAAGCCCCTTCTTATTTCAAAGCAATGAAGAAGCCTCCTCTACAAAACAATACATTTACTAGGACCGCAACTGTGCTTGAATTCCCTGTGTTTTGGCCAGGCAAGTATCTGGAGTATGAAGTTCCCTTGAACTTTAGGCTCAGTCTTAAATTGGTAAAGGCTTAGGATCTACAAGGTACACAGTATGTTTGTTCCTTTAGGGTGCTTAGCCAGGTTCACAGGCAAGTGGGAAGAAACAAGTGTTTACTTGGTATGGCAAACCTTCTCACATCCTGTATCAGCTAAGCTATCATCTCAACTTCAACTTATTCTTGCCTAGTACTCACCCCTCCATTTAAGAGGCATCAGGTTAAGAAGGAGGGTAGGAACTCAGAGATGAAAAAGAAAAAGACTGTTCAAGATATCTTTTTTTCTCACCCCTTTTACTTTATTCACCACATCCATCCTTTTTCTCATAATCTAGTTTTCAAGCAAATAAGAGCCCTTGTCCATAACAATAGAACTTTATCTCATACTAGGATAATGATTTTAATTTTGTGCCTAAGTAACACATTATTTCTTTTGTCTTTATTGAAGTACAAAATTCCCAAATCTCTTATGCTCATGGAAAACAAAAACTACATCTTCAAAGGGAGGTATCTAAAAAAACCGATTTTGTTGAAAAAAGTATATTTCAAATATGAATTATTGAAGTATCTGCAAGAATGAGCTACTTAATTATGTATAAGGAACTCCCAATCTCTTCACATTTTCTTATCAGCCATCAAACAGGTTAGGAAAAGCTTTTTCTAAAAAATGAGATAAACAATCTTTTTTTTCATTAATGTTTGCTGATGAGAATAGACAGATTAGTCATGCCTGCCCTATAATTCTTTGAATTCAGAGAAGCTGTTTATTCAGATTTTTAAAAACAGCTAAAAATTCTGTGATTCTATTTTGGCTGTTGATTGCATTCATTTATTCCCTTTATCATTTAACAAACATTTACAAACACCTACTAAGTGCCACACTGCATGGACCAGTGTGAAAGATATAGTCCATGCTCCTTCAAAGAACATGATATAATATATACAGATATTTATAATATCAAGTGATAATGTTATGATAGGTAACTTCAGAAAAGAGCACTTACTGGGACTGGGAGAGATCGGAGCAAACTTCCTGGAGGAGACAATAACTGAACTGAGACAAAAATTTAGATCTTACACTTGGCACTAAGGCAAGCTTGTAACTGAAACAGACTTCCCGTTCACCAACTACTTATTATGTTGAAGCACCAGGGTAAAAGCTAGGGACACAGAGATAAAACATAGTTCCAGCCTTCAAGAAATTCCCTTAAAGGAGGATATATTTAGTTATAAATATGTCTTTTTCAGCAGTTATAAGAGATGCAATAAAAGTAAAAGCAAAAGCTATTGGTGAATAAAGGAGACAGTGAGTAGTTACTTTAGGACTAGGGAATAAGACTTGTGTAAGGCTTCACACAAGTGTTAGTATTTAACCTATACCTTTAAGAAAGATATCAGTGTTGTAGAATGCATATAACAGAAGATTGGGGGAATGGGGAGTTGTACTCTAGGCAGAGAAAAAACTCAAATGAGAAACTGGGTATTTTAAAAATCAATAAAGAATTCAGAAAAACAAATTAAATCATCAGCTCTATGTATGGGAGAGGAATGTAGACTGGCAGTAAAGTCAAAAGGTTTTGATGGAATGGGATTGTAGCAGTCCTTAAAATCGCATACTAAGGTATTTGAACTTTATTCTGATGGCAATAGGAAAATCACTAAAGGTTTTTAGGCAGAGGACTGTTCAAGGGAATAACTGATAGGTGTGTGCATGTGTATTTGGGATGGTGTGGAGGCAGATTAGACACAAAGATATGAGAAGGGAGACTTATTTCGAAATTCTAAGTGAGAAGACTTGAGAGCCTATCCTTGAGCAGTAGCAGTAGGAATTGAATGAAGGAGACAGACTTAAAATACACTTCAGCAGAACTGACAGGAATGGTTCACCAGTTAGATTTAAGGATGAAAAAAATGGAAGGGGCAAATATGATGCCAAGACTTCTAGTTTAGTTGACTGAATGGGTAGAGAAGGTCAGGTTTGGTGAGGGAGGATACTGAGGCTAGTTCTCATAATAAATTTGAGGCAGCTGTAGTAAATCCCAGTATACATCTGGTAGGCATCTGGAAAAAAATCTTAGGCACTCAGGACACAGATCCAGAAAAGATTGAGGTATGGAAGTAATCACCATCTAAGTAACAGTTGAGGTTATATATAGGAATGAATAAGATCATTCAGTTAAAAAGAAGAGTGATAAGGATGAAAGTTTACAGACTATATTATATATACACATAATCATTATATATTATATAAATATTTCAATTGGTAACGAAGAAAAATAATAAAAGAGATGAAGAGATAGCTTTCAAAATTTAGAAGGTTAGTTGAGAGAAAGAATCATAGACACAAGGTCTGAGAAAATCTTAATGGAGACTAGAACTGTAAACAGGCTCAGTGGGATGATGTGAGGAAAATGGAAGTTCTTATGGCCAGAACCCTCACCTAAACTACTTGATGATGTAATTGGCCTACTGCTAGGCTAATGCTTCCACACCCGTTGGCAATAAGCTGCTATTGACTGAGTCACTATATAAAGAGCTGGAAGTAGATTAAGGACCTGCAGACTGCTGGATGCAGACATGATTCTAGTGCTCAAAGTACCACCATGAAAATAAAGCTTTTACCCCAAGAATGTTTTCTTGTCATTTCTCAATCTCACTGAATCCATAGTGAACTTGCCCAGGGCTGAAACCCTCAGGCAGGACAGTATGTAATAGCAATATGTCTAAAAAAACAATGTACATATCTTAAATTAAAAATACATTATTGCTAAAAAGTGCTAACCTTCATCTGAACTTTCAGTGAGTCATAATCTTTTTGCTGGTGGAGGTCTTGCCTATATGTTGACGGCTGCTGACTAATCAGGGTGGTGGTCGCTGAAGGCTGGGTGGGGGTGGCTGTGGCAATTTCTTAAAGACAATAATGAAGTCTGACACACTGATGGACTCTTCCTTTCACAACTTCTCTGTAGCTTGTGATACCGTTTGAAAGTGCTTTACCTACAGAAGAACTTCTTCCAAAATTGGAGTCAATTCTCCCAAACCCTGCCACTGCTTTATGTAACTGTATAAATCTTGTGTTGTCACTTCAACAATCTTCACAGCATTTTCACCAGGAGTAGATTTCATCTCAAGAAACCACTTTCTTTGCTCGTCCATAAGAAGCAATTCCCTGTCCATTCAAGTTTGTT